TCTTGCCGGCCCAACATCCTCAACATTGAAAAATGCCCAGGTCCGAAGTGGTTAAGCCATAATTCTATCTCAAAAGTAATATCTGGGTTGTGCACTTGACTACTTGCTTGTAGTTCAATCACTTGCCTTGGATGCCCTGAAAAGTTTTCCAGAGACAATGTAAAGTTTTGTAATTTATTGTAATCTTCTCTCACAGGTCAAATAATACATTTTCAGTGCAGCTATTAGAAACTGAGCATTACCTTCATTACTTCCAAAACTGAGTCTGTAAAAAACCTGTAGCTAACAATTTAAACAGCTCTACAGATCATCAGGATGTTTGTAGTTATTCCAGTGTTTTAGTCGAGACCATCACAAGAACAGTCACAAGAACAGGCACAAATAACAGGGTGAACAATGACAAAGGAATGCTTTTGTTGTAGTTCATTTGAATATCTTGTGACTTGAATTCAGACCGGAGATCTTGTGTGGTCTTGTGAAGGTCTTAAGAGGTCTTGACTACAACACTGAGTTATTTATCACAGTCTGAATGTGTCTTTTTTTCAAACATATTGCATATGATTGCCTTAAATCCATATCATACATTTCTTCCACGTTTCTACAAGAGCTACATGTACAACATGAACTGTAATGGTGGTACAGTAGTCTTTTGGAGTTCCTTATACTGCAGTACTGCTTTGTTTTCATATTTTGCATGTTTCCATTTACTGTTGTCATCACAGAAAATTGCTCTGTCCTGTTATTTTACAACAGTTTTATATAAATCACAGTGATGGTCCTCATGTTAAGAGCTTGGACCTGTATATTGTTCTTTGTCTCCATTACTGATTATCATAAAAAAACCATATATTTTTAACCTTGTCGGCGCGTGTTGTGTGGGCGGCAATTTTTGCGGCTGCAGACAGCTAGTAACCAAAATTCCTATATTTTGGGCACTCACTTCAGTTTTATGTCTAAATTTTGATAATCAATTTGTTTCCATTTCACTCCAATGTCTCCTGAGGTTTTATTTTCCTGACTTATTATGACGTTTGTAGGAAGCTTTCATACATGTACTAATCCGCTTGTGAACTGTGGGTTAAACTGCATAGTGCTCAAAAGTGAGCAAAAAATTGCCACACAAACCAGATGAAGTCAAGCAATGAGTGATTAGCAAATAACCAGATTCTCTATTTAAATTAAATTCAATATACATGTAGCCTCTTGACACCAGCGAGCACTTTATTGTGATTAAAAGGAATTTTACTGTGTGGGTAGTCACAGGGGGTTTGATGGGTAAAAAAAAAAAAATGATGACCTTAGATACAGTGGCTCAACCTCAGTGATTTGTCTCTCTGTTATTTTATATGGAGTCCATGTATAGTACATGTATATGTGGAAAAATCCACTTAAGAGTGTTTCTGTTTTGTTTGCAGCTACTCAATTTGCTGTAGAAATGGGCTTCAAAGAAGAGAGTCTGTCCACCAATACCTCAATGTAAGTTAAAAGGCATCTGTTCACACAGTAACAATACTTGAAATATTAGTCCAGCAGCCAGATGTTTCTTTGCATATTCTGAGCAAGGAGGTCACACTTTTGAAGAATTAGAATCATGACGCCTTGTCAGGGTTGGGATATTTAGATATTGATTATTTATGTTTTTCAGTACTTTATCAGTACATACTGTTTGTACAGTTAAAAACAATCAAAAGACAACATTTTAATAAAACCAATGTCCCATAATAAGGAATAAAATCCTTAACCTAACTCCCTAGGGTGTGTGCAAAAGCATATTAAAACTGGAGGATTCAGGGATTTTAGGGTTTTAAAGATGAATCACATTGCTTTGACGTAAAATAGTTATTTACATGTAACTGGGAATTGATCATTGTTACCCATATCGTGACTAACATGGCAGCTTCTCTTTGCATTTACAAAAAAATCCTCATTTTGGGAGTTCAGTTCCACTTTGAGAATGTAAAACAAATGCATCATGAGGATGGTACACAAATCATGTGATTTAATGATGATACAGCTCTCGTTTCCACAGAGTTCCTTGACCTTGTGGCCGTAATAGGGGCTTTATAGCACAAAAACAGAGAAAAAATGGGTACATGTAGATGACATTGTTGGCAAATGACTGCGGCCATCTGCCTGAAATTCATCAGGACTTTACTCTGGTTCAACTTGGGACAGTTCAACTCTATCATATGATCCAGTATTGATCAACATTTTCGATGGAAAGGCAATGCCAAGTCGCTCTCACTGTCTGACATCTTTTAATTCACGGTTAAGTGCGAGCAAGCACAGCGCCCATGCATGAGGGCGTGTTCATCCTGAAATAATGGAACGGTTGTATAATTGCAGAGCCGTAGTGTGATCACATCAAAACAGACCCTTTTGCCTGATATGAAGGAGGACTTCAACTTATGCCTTTGACATCAGTGATAATTTTTGTGCAGTTTTACCTACTAGATTGTTTTAATTATAACTAATTTGGTAAAGGTTTAAATTGTGAATTACCAATGTGATTGATCTTTTAAAATGTATAGTGTGTGTGAGGTGCTGTTAGGGTGTGGCCTTGGGTGTGCCTTATGAATGGTTGGTGTGTGGACCAGTTCAGATCAATTTTATTATTAACCCCTTCGCGCCGGGAAGTGGCAAGAGCTGTGCCTGGAGAAAAGTCTAATAACCGGGAAGCGGCTGTAGCTGCATACCACACCTGTAACTTTTATTCAGTGTACACCTTTAATTACTGGGACCTTTGCATTGAATGGAAATCTGGGGCATCTGCATGTACAATAATGCTTGTGAGAAAGATTGAATTATTTTAAAGGTGAAATACTTAGATGCCAAATAAAAAAACGACAGTCAATGAGTGATTTACAAGAGATCTGCAAAAAAAATTTTTTTAAAGAAATTACATAAATACATGTATATTAGTCACAGAAGAATCGATGGAGGCATTCTATCAATTTATGAAAATAATTCTTTAACCTGTGTGACATCATGCTTAGCAAATAGGATGAAAACAGTTTATTCACAATTAGTAAGAACACTTTAGTATATGTACACATTACAACATTGATTTACAGTTTCAAATATTGGAAAACACATAGTCTCATCAGTTACATGAAAAGTAGATTGGCTGTTTGGAAGATAACCTTCTGGTTAACTAAGAACACAAATGATCTTAGTACATGTACTCCCAGTATTAAAAGCGTAATTAATTTGTTCGAATAATGTAACTTCCACATCCTTCAAGTTCACATGCACTTATTTGATGAAAGTGTGCACGTGATAACTTAGTCTTTCCAATACATATTCTACAAAACTCATAATTTTTATTTGCTTTGATTACAAGAATGGAAGTGCTTTAAATGAAGACACAGATAACCAACATCTAAAGTCTTATCTTCAAAAGTAGGGGTTGTATTATCGCCAAGTTGCCGATCTGCATCTCATCTTCTATCTTTTGCTTTTTTATCAATGAATTAAAACACATCGGAAAACAGTCAAGACAGCATGTACATGGATTCTGTACTAGTTCTGGCCTTTCATTCTCAACGTGTGAGTATACATGTAATAAGGAAGACTACTGCGTAACTCATGAATGATCGAGCTATCTCCAAATGCAACCAAAATTGATGCAATACGTGAATAAGTTTTCAAATGTAGAATGGTTTGTAATGAATTACTTGTATCACACAATCTGTTGAATAATATAAATCATGAAACAAATCATGTAGGGAAACTGACTAGGTGCTTATGAATGATTATAAAGATGAACAAAGAAATTGGTTGGAGCGGGATTTGAACCTGCGGCCTCTGGAATACCATACCAGTATTCTACCAACTGAGCCACCCAGCCCTACAACAATGTATGTTGGTGGCTCTTCCCATTTGTCAATATCTCTGTGGGGGGGGGAGGAGTGCTAGCCAGAAGCCAATAGACCTGAAACACCATGTAGCCAGTGATCACTTAAAGAGGATATGGCTTTTTTTAACACAAATCATAAAACAAAGATATTGACAAATGGGAAGAGCCACCAACATAGGGTTGGGTAGCTCAGTTGGTAGAATACTGGTATGGTATTCCAGAGGCTGCAGGTTCAAATCCTGCTCCAATCAATTTCTTTGTTCATCTTTATAATCATTCATAAGCACCTAGTCAGTTTCCCTACATGATCTGTGTAATGATTTGAGCCACTTTCAAAACATGCAAACTGATGTTATAAGGATATACTCAGCTGAATTTAGGCAAATCAAAAGTACGTTTTTTTTTCATATTGTTGCAAATGTAACACACTGATAAAAATAAACCTGCAAAACTGTCATGCAAGTGACACAAAAGCTCCCCTATAAAAGTAACCGATTAAACAGGATATCATGGAAATATGGAAATTATTTTTAATTGGAGGGTCTTTCTACTAATTGCTTTAATGAACACAAATTCATATATGAAGGAAAGAAAACACTTTCATAATTATTTTTTGTTTGTATGTGACTTTTTACGTGACTTTCGGGTCAGCTACCCGAATCAGATCTACTTCAGACATGTTACAGAGTTGGTGCCCCTGCAAGAGATGGTCCCAGAAGAGATTCATCAATGTGACATCATCAACTGTCAAGTTACGTCACAATAATTAAACTTGCAGTTTTCCCCATTGTTTTTGTACACATTTTTCTTCATCCCAAAAAATTTTGGACTTTTTTTAATCTGATTGACTTCAGACGTTATAGATACTGGTGTGTTATAGATAAAAAACCAAGAGACATCACGATGACTTCATCAAGGTGCACTCTTCAAAACTCTATATCTCCTGAAGTATCAGTCTGATTTCATTTAAATGTTGCAAGCAGTTAAAGAGGTGTTACAGACAAAACGTGAAGTTACTGCATGATGATGTCATACCAGTCACATGACATCACACAAGAGCATATTTTACTTTAAAGACCTCTATCTAAAGAAGTACTGGCCCAGTCAGGTTCAGACTTGGCATGCCATAAACAATGACATGATAGATTAATACTGAAATTCCTTTATGACGATGTCTTGTGACGGCATCACATTAAAGGTGTACCACTCATACTCCCTATCTTCTTGTCCAATCAGGTCAAAACCTTGTAGGAACTTAGAAAGATATGTTATAGATGAAAATCAGTTGTTTTCAACTTCATTTGTGGATTTCTTTGAGAATTACACAGAAATCATATGAAGTCCACTGCTCTCACCCTACCCAAACAGTCGTTACTTTTGCCATCCATTAAAATTCTTGTCATTTTTGACATCTTCAAATTTCTTGAGTTTTCATTTTGCTATACCTTCTGTGATGACCTGATACACTGTAATGTACAGTGTATTATAATAAAGTCCTTTTCATTATGCAGTGTTGATTTGTCCATTCGGTGTGTTTGGCTGTGTTGGGTCCAGCCAAAATTCTCAAATGCCTTCGACAGGTATTGAAAAATGTCAAAAATGCATTTTCAGTAAATGTCTGTCAAGAAACTTTGCTTCAATCACTTAAAAATGGATTGATGTAATGACCTTCGGCAAACAACACTTGTAAAATTTGAAGCCGGTGACATCAGACCAGAAGTTATCATGAAAAGACCTGTTATTTTTCAAAAATCCCTCAAAAATGAATCCTGAGAGCTGGGATCTTGAACTGTCCATTTAATGATAGAATAAACATTAGCATAAACTGTCTTAGGCATTTGGGTTGTCTTATTGTTCATATGCATGCCCTGCCGAATGATCAGATGATAAAAATACCTGAACAGAAGTTTGCCTTTTGAAAACCTACTCCATTGTATATGCATTGTGTGTGTGTACAGTATGTACATGCATTCACTTGAGATCATTCTCCTTGGAATGGTTCCAGACTTGTCACAATGAACCAAATCGGCACTTGGTGAAATGGTTAGATGTAGGACTGCTGACTTAGGGACTTGGGTTTGATTCCTGCCAGTTGTAGAGTCTTTTTTCCTACTCAAAAGAGGTCACCGAAACAACTCTGCAATACCTACAAACACAAGCCTCATTTGTATCACACAGGTACTTGTATTTGGTATATTTAATCACTTTTGAGGGAAAAAAGATCATTTGGATTTCAAAAACTAACATTAAATATCTGGAGGCATTTAGTAAGTCTTGAAGTTTCAACAGTTTTACACAGTTCTGTGGTGAGTTTGAATGTCTACAAAGCAGAGAACGTAAAAACAATTACAAGGGAAAGTGTTCACTCTAAACTTTGCTCCATGCTGTAAATTACTTCTCTTTTGTTACTTTTCAGTGATGAATGGAGGCGATGGAAAGATCACAACTGTCAACCTAATTTTCGACAGGTATCATATCATGCCTATTACACCTTACCAGGTGACCAATGACATGTACATAAACAAGGTTTAAAGTCAATAATTTCTTAAATTCTCTGTGCTTTTTTAAAGCCAGCCTGTTTTGGATCACATTGAATTGTATGCAAGCACATCTATGTGCCCTGAGCACATGCATTACACCTCAACCTGTCACAAGGGTCTGTCAATGTATTTATAATATTGCTTGAATTATTTGTTTTCACTTTAAAATTGATATCCCTGATATCACATTTTAATCATATCAAAATCTCACAAATCTTGAAAGTGGAATAATACCAGAAATACCAAGAGCAAGTCACACCATCAACAAAGAAAATCTCCAGTCTGTGGTGTTCATTTACCAGATAGCACTACGTGTCCGTTATTTCGCTAATGCCATATCACTAAAGACTTGATCACCTGTGGTGTGCCCCCATCTACCACAATACAATGTTGTATCACCGCCATGATCATCCTTCTTTTTCTTAATTGTACTGTAGCTCAGGGACACGTGTACTTATACCTCTTGAATTTGTCGGGATCCTCACCTCTCTTCTGTATAATCTTTGATCAACTGTACTAGATCAGATTAAGTTGGATTATTTTTATATAGCATTGTTATTTCTATTTTATGATGCTTGTAAGAATAAAGTGCCATTGTAATTGACTCATTACAACCTCAACCTGAGCAATTCCCTGCTCTCTAGCAAACCTTATTGCCATCGCAGCCCATTGTAGCTCGCACTCAGTGGCTCCGTGACTGCATTGAAGGAAGCTTTGTGCATGCCACGGCTAAAGCTTGGCTTTTGCCGCCTGCCTAATTGCAGCACTTGTGCGCTGCTCACATGCTGACTGACATGCGTTTCCGATGCAGTGCTGGAAGTACTGTTTTGTGTCACCAAATTTCACTTGAATGTTTTAAAAAAGGAAAGGTTAAGTAATGAAAAGGCAAACAAAAACACCCATATTATATATATATATTTTTGTTAGTCTCAGACATTTGGAAATACAAAATGGTGTACCCTGAAGCAATTAAAAGGGAATGATGTGGCCAAACAGGATAACCCCAGACCCGGCAAATTGAGCAAGCACAGGGCTGTGCTGTTCGTGCCGCGGTGTGCATGGAACGGATGAATTGTCTTAAAAAGTACTCAGTTTTGGTGGGTTATGTTTTATTTATCAGTAGGATAGAAATTTTACGTAAGAAAAATATGAAATCTCAGCAAACTAATGATTTTTAGAGAAATTTATTCTTGGATATAAAGAAATAACCACTTAAAACGTCTCCAATAGCCACTGCAGAGGCAAGTAGGATTACTTGTGCACTGCATGTATTTGTGGGCAAAACGTGGGAACTTCCATTGGTTCGAAATCCGGTGAACTCAAATTTGTTATTCATTCCCCCAAGGTTCAAGTTACCAAGAGTTTACTGTATATAAATGCACATTTGTGCATACCCTGGCTTCACTGCTCCTTTGTGTGTACCAGTTGTGTTTGTCCTATCTTTACATTAGTGCAATAGGGACCTAGTTTAGCACATGCTGTGGGAATTTGTGATTCACCGAGTGAGTTCAGTGTTGGTCCCCATTTTGTGTAAAGTGCAAGTTCTTCCCTGTGTCCACCATGTAAGGATAGTTTGTATTTTCAGTGGTGACAATAGGTGGTGCTGCATTGACATTGGAGGTCACGAATGGTCAACGAATGGTCGTCTGCCTTTGCAACATTTATTGCAGTATACACAAGTAAGTTCCCCGGTGAAGTAGCAAAGCTCCTGAAGTATGGTGAAGTTAACCACTAAAGTGCGAATGAAGGGGGGCAATTTTAACCTCTATGGTGTGACATTTCGAAAGCTCCTTCAAACCATAGAGCTTTCATTTGATCAGTTCCGCACTGAGTTGTACCTTAAAGCCTTTCATTGTTGGCCCCATTTCACTGGCGGTTGTAGGCAACAACAACGCTCCTCACAAATCTGCTTTCAGTTCCTTCGAGGGCAGTACTGCAACGGGCTGCTAGACGCAGCTGCCGTGGAAGCACATTTGCCGTGCAATAAAATATCTAAGGCCATCACCGCTATTGATCGTAGGCCTATATTGACCAAGAGCAAGATCACTCTGAAAGAGCTATGGTCAATCATTGGCCTCTTGAATTTTGCATGCAAAGTGGTGGTTCCTGGCCGGGCATTCTTACGTCGTTTTATTAATGTAACAATCAGGGTGACAAAACCACACTATCGTATACTTACAAGATTCGTTGCTTGTCTTACACCATTTTAATGGCAGAGCGTTCTTTCTCCCAGATCAGCGGTTACTGGCCGAAGCCTTACACTTGTGTACAGATGCCGCAGGTTCCATAGGGTATGGGCCATCCTAGGTCATAAATGGTTTTATGGTAGATGGTCATAAAGTTGGATAAGCGAAACCATACACTAAAAAAGTTTTTCCCCATTTTTGCCACAGTACTGATTTGGTTAGAGTCGTTAGTGGATGCCCATATAATAATACACACAAACAACCAGGCACTGGTCTGTTATCAGTGCCAAAACCTCAAAAAAGTGAAAGCAATGTCACTTGTGTGCAAGTTTGTAGTGCATTGCATGCCACACAACATTGAGTTCGAAGTGGAACGTGTTCATGGTTACAAAAACATATTAGCCAATAAACTGTCTCGCCTGCAGGTCCATGTGTTCAAAGCTCTAGCCTCATGGGCAGCAGACAAGCCAATCAAGCTACCAGAAACTCTCCAACCTCAGAATTGCTTCCTGAGCTCATGTCCCTCCTTATAGGATCTATGGCTCCCTCCACACGGAGGACATATACCAGGGCCCATCAGGTTTTGGCAGATTTTCTTTCACAGTTTGGTTTTAGTCAAATGCTGCCAATTCCCCTAATCATAATTGCATTATCTGTGGCTCATTTACATAAATGTTCCTATGCAACCAGTACAGTTCTTACATGTCTGCGGTTAGTTTCTTCCTAAATTGCATAATGTGCCAGATCCTGCACATACCTTTCTTGTTCAGAAAGCTGTGGCAGGTGTCTAAAAGGTAAATCTCAATTTGACCTCAGACTGCTAACCCTCCTGATACCCATGCAGATGACAGATGCCCGAGAGCATTGTTCCCTCACAAGAGGTCATGTACAAAAGCATGCTTTAACTGGCTTTTGCAGCACTCCTACATGTGGGAGAGTTAAGTGTTTCAAATAGTTAAACAGCAAATGTTTTGAAGTTGGATAATGTTATGCTTAGCCATGACGTGGGGGGGTTGAAGTTGGTTTGTTGGAACTTCAAACATTCACAGGGCAGACAAGGCTGTATTGATATTGCATGACAGAATAATGTACACGGTCCAGTCCAAAGTTTGTTGACATACTTGGAAAGGCAAACATCTTTCAAATTGGTATTTCTGTACTGCTGGCCCAACAGGCAGCCTGTCAGTCGGAGAGCATGTACTTAGACTCTGAGGTCAACACATATTCATGTAGGTTTAAACCCAACAATTAACACTGCCCATAGTTTCCGTAAAGGGGCGGCATGCCATGCAGTTTCCCTGGGATACTCAGATGCTCAAATCAGGGAGAAGGAGAAGGGCGTGGCAAAGGAAATGGGCACAAGGTAAAACTAAAGAAAAATAAATTAGAACATACTCACAGAAAGACTGCGCAAAGCATTGAACCCTTTCTAGAAAAATTAATTGTAGTGGTGGTGTAAAGTAATAGCGAAAAGATATTTCATTCAACTAAGGATCCTGCAGCAGGAACTAAAATGAAAATAAGGGAACCAAATCACACCACCATCCACTACAATCCCCCAGCTGTAAGTCCACACCTAAACCTAACAGGCAGCTTTTATAAGCCTGAAGAGAAAGTTATGTAAGAAATGTTGCACCACTGCTAATAGAAACAAAAAAAGGAATTCTTAAGACTGCAATGAACAAACCAAATTAGCATAACTGGGGAACACAGAGCCAGGCCAGGGCTCCAGGGTCAAATGAAATATCAAAAGATTAATGAACAAGAAGGGCCTGCAGTATTGTGGCCAGACCACTGACATTTTAGAGGAACGTACTCTTTAACTTAACAAAAGGAAAAGACCCAAATTTTGTTACAATACTTTGTAACACGTTTCTGGAAAAGTTTACATATGGTACAATGTTTGTTTGGTATTTACTCTTGTGACACATGAACAAATATTAAGAAAACAAGATAAAGAAAATATAATTAGAAAACAAAATTTAAAGAAGACATAAAGGACTCCTGAACCCCAAGCCGAATTTGCATCTAAACTAACAATGTGCTTTATTTATGTGTTTGGGTACCGTGTGTCTGTAAACCTCGTGGTTTCAAATTGCTTTTGGGCAAACTTATTCAGAGTGTGGGCATTCCCAGATTTGCCCACTGTAGCTACTTCAAGGTCCCACCAAGCTACATTCACGATAAACCTGAGACTGACAAGCTTTGAGGTATCTTGGGTTTCTTCTCCAGTCTCAGCGCCTCTGATGAAAACAAGGAAAGGAATGTGCTTCTAGGCTCTGACTGCCCCTGTGGCCTCCTGTGACATATGCCTTGTAATGGAGTCATCAGCATTTTCCCAATGAACTCTCTATTTCTGGTATTAATTAATATACTATGGTTTGTCCCACTGTACTCACAGGCTATGCTCCCATGTACCTCAGTGTATCTGAATCTGTAGCTTGCGGGCTCTTGAATTTCAACCCCCGACAGCCATGCCACCCCAGACAAGCCTGCCACCCTCATTAGAATCATGCAGAGACAGGCCACCCTCTGCAACCTTTCCTTGGGCTGTACATCTTCAAATGTTACCGAATAAACAGAAGTCACCGCTCTTTTCCACTGAAAGAGGTTTCAACCCTTACCACCCGGCATGTGAGCAAGACCAAGGCTTTTTAGTGCCCTCAACATGGCATCGCATATACAACTAACTGAACAATACTACTGATATCAGCAATCGACATTATCCCTTTCCTAGTAAGA